ACACCTCTATTAGCCTGTTCTCAGAGCTAACTTTTACTTTTTCTTTAGAATGTTAAAACTTATAAATATTTGCACTTAATATTAAATGTTGTTGAGATGATCCTTAAATATTTATTATAAACTGTATTTAGAAAATCCTAAGTAAAGTGTATTTAAACATAAGTATGTACCCAAAAGATGTTGGTATCTACTATTTTAAGTACAGTCGATTGAGACTTTTTAGGGCAAAGTACAACACATATCATAAGAATTTGATAGAATAGATATGCCAACCAGAGATATATCACTATAGTAAAACATATTTGAAATGATAAGATTTAGATTACATTGAAAGTTATGGAGGTAAGAAGGAGAATGTCATATTATAAATATTCTGAAAACAGGAAGTTATTCTAGATACTGTAAGTAACCATAACAATAACAATGGCGATCATGCTTTAGTTGAGGAAATTTTACTTTAGTTTTTCCTCTAAATTTCTATAGCTTCAAGCAAGTAAGCAAACAAACAAAAAAAAACCATGTTACAATATCCTGAGAGAACTATAGAGATCACTTTTCTGGGGAGTGGTTTGAGATTATCAGCTGATCTCAACCTTTACTTTCTATAATACTTCAAAGACTTGTTCTGAAGTGAAACATATCAACTCAGATACAACCTAACATCCCCAATGTGTTATTGTTTATTTTTTCTCTCTAGCCATGTTTCTTGGGACATAAGTAGGGCCTTATACAATCTGAGTTTAAGAACCTAGAGCAATAATGTTTTAAAAAATATACAGAAATTCCCATATCACAGAAGAATAATGAGATACTAGGTATATTTGAAGACTGCTCTATGTTGTAATGATGACAAATAAAATATGTAAATTCTTAAATATTATCTTTGAGGCATAGCTGACTTGATTAGGAAATCAAACCTCTATTCTGTGAAAACAAAAATCATACTAGACAAAGAAAATTATTCTCTTACTCCACTCCTACAACAACAGCATCAAGTTTGTTTGCAGTCCATCTGTTGAGGAAGTCAAAAGCCGTCTGCTCTGAAATGAAGAAATAAATGTCAAAGTTCTCCTTGTAATAAAACAACAACAGAAAATCATAGCTATGAACTTGGACAGAAATGTGATTTGGGTATTACAAGGATCCATTTCCCTACCACTTTCTTTATGCACAGTGACCCGAATCAGCGTGGCACAGCCTACAGGAGTGCTTCTTCAGTTGCTCTCCCCAGGGGTAAACAAATTACGTGGCTCATTGGTGCTTTGGGGAGTTGAAACTAGACTCAGCCCATTCTAATTTTCTCTGGTCATATGTTGTCTGCACACAATGATACTTCCAAGAACTCGTCGTGGTCTTGCGCTCTGCTTCACCAGGCAGCTAGCCAGTGCAGATGAGTCTCTGACTCAACAACACCTGAATACACATTCTCTAAGCTTCACTAGAAACAATGGTTCTGTTCTGATTTTATTTCCCTGACCTTTGTGTATAATCTTTCTTTTTTTAAATTTTGTTTTATTGCTTAAAGTATTACAAAGAGTATTACATATGTCTCCTTCCCCCCCCCCCCTTGACAATCTCCCGGCCCCCCCTACAGCCCCCCCCCCCCCACCCAGTGTCTTGTGGTAGTTTGACAATCTGTTCGATGCTGCTATGCCTCTGTATCTATTTTTGTTCATCAGTTTATAATGTTTCAATTGGCTTAGAACTAAGAAATGAAAAAAAAAATAGATGCATTGACTGTCTAAAACTACAACACCTTCATTTTCTCCCACTACACCACATTGTGAAATGGCCCAATAACCTTGGCATGTAAGACAAAGTCTGTAAAAAAGCAGCTAGATTGTGAGAGAGTCTCTGACAAGGCAGTGTGTGGTTTGATGTACATCTTCATTTTGGCATGCTTGTCATACAAGTCATCACTCTCCCCCCAACACACACACACACACACACACACACACACACACACCACATCTATCTCTATGTACCGACAAATCCAATTTACCGGTTCAGTGCCCTGGTCACAGCACTTTGGCAAATCTGCAACACCTATTATTACTTTATTTACCACAAGATTCTAGAAATTCAAAAAATTCTAGAGTTGTGATCAAATTCTAAGCTTTTCTAAGGTGTCTGCTGCATATTAGCAAAACTTCAAATTAAATACTGTGTATGTTACAACCTTAAAATAAAAAAAAAATCAAATAGGCTTTTATGTAGAAAAAATAATGTTTTCATTAAAGATGGAATCGATAATGTGGGAAAAGGCAATGTATAGATGAAGATCAAAATGTGTAAGAATCCGTTGATCCTCACATTTAAAGCTCCTCAATGATGTATTTCAAACATGATTTTACTGTTATCTACCAATTCTTTTTTTTGCTTATCTTTTTTTAAAATTTGATTTCAGAGAGGAAGGAAGTGGGAGAGAGGGACACAAACATCAATGATGAGAGAGAATCATTGATCCGCTGCCTCCTACACGCTCCACCCCAGGGACCAAGCCCACAACCCAGGCATGTACCCCTGACCGGGAATCAAACTGCAACCTCCTGCCCCACAGATCGACACTCAAACACTGAGCCACACTGGCTGGGCTGTTTTGCTTATCTATATACATAAAAGCCTAAGCGACAGTCTGACCATTTGACCTTCTGACCGTTTGACCATCTGACCAGTAGCTATGACACGCAATGACCACCAGGAGGCAGACACTCCGACTGATAGTTATGATGTGCACTGTCCACCAGGGGGCAGATGCTTAACGCAGGAGCTGCAAAGCTGAGATGACCTGGCAGCTGTGGTTTTCAGGTGACGCACCCGGAACCAGAGAGGAGGGAGCTTGATTTCAGGGTGCATCACCCGAGAACCACCCTCTTGCAATCCAGGACCCCTCCGGGGATGTTGGAGAGCTGGTTTTGGCCGGATCCCCCCCAGGCCAGGCTGAGGGACCCCATCGGTGAACAAATCTGTGCACTTGGTCTCTAGTTTTATAATAAAAGTTAATTTAAGTTTTTATTTTCTATTCTATAATGAAAACTGTCCCAATGCACGTAATATTTGCAATCTGATATTTTTTTCTTTTTTATATGTCCAGTTATTGAATTTATAGTACTTTTAGGATTTAGAAAGGAACAAGAAGTCATTAGGATAAATGTTGAAAAGCAATAAACACAGAAGTATGTAAAAAGTCTACTAGAGCAGTGGTCGGCAAACTGCGGCTCGCCAGCCACATGCGGCTCTTTGGCCCCTTGAGTGTGGCTCTTCCACAAAACACCGACTTCTGCGCATGGGCCACGAAGTTTCAATCGCACTGTATGTGCACGCCTGCACGTGGTATTTTGTGGAAGAGCCACACTCAAGAGGCCAAAGAGCTGCATGTGGCTCGTGAGCTGCAGTTTGCCGACCACTGTACTAGAGGATTTTTTTTAAAAAAAATGTCTTCGTTCTTAAAGCAACTTTGGCAACTTTTAACAAGAAAAAAATAGAAAGCCTAGTTTAAAAAAAGAAAAGAAATCAAAATTTGCAAATACCAGGGAATAGTTGCTGCATCTGTCCTGATTTGTCAACAAACAAAAAGTATCCTAAGTAATTCACAGTTTACCTACATGAGTTCTGGGAGACCCAAAAACACAATATGCACATATAAAACAAAAACATGGAAAAAAGGCACAGCTGGAATTCAGCTGGGCTAAATGTTGGAATGTACTGTCCTGAATAATAATTTCATATTTTTAGAAATGACTGATCACAATCATTGCCCTTGACAATGAAGAAGAAATCAATCTAATAATCAGGAACACTTCCAAATATTTTTAAATAGTTATTTTCTTTCTTTTTTAAATTGTAATTAAATTTTTTCTATTACCATTTACCCCTCTATGCCCTCTTCAACCTCCACTTAACCCCCTCTTATTTTCAAATTTCAAATTCAAAGTGATATCTTTCCATCTGTGGGTATTTCTCTTGTACTTACGGAATTCCCAATAATATGAATAGGAACACTTGGATATTTCATAGACCTTATTAAAACTTCAGTGGAATTAATTATTATCTTCATAGACAAATGAAGCTAACTTAGTCTTTAATTTATCTTAAAAGGAAGCTAAATATTCTGATCATCCTAATGCCCAGTATAAATTGAATTATAGATGAAATCTAATTTACTGAAAACATTAAGAAAATGAAAAAGGCATAAAAGTACTAGGAAAATTTTTTTTGATAATCACTCTGGAGACCTGTAACAAAATTCCCTTTGACTATTTTTTCCAAAGGACATTTGTTGAACTTTTACTGTATGGAAAGTGCTTTGCTAGATGCTAGCTAGGAGGTCATGCCACATACAAGGAGATGCTAAAACAAACAGGTAACACAATTGTGAAACAAAGCAAGAATTGCTGGTACCAAGCTTATACAAACGCAAAGGACATACAGGAATTCTGCTAAAATCTTATAGAACCAGGGAAGCCTACACACGTACACACTTGAGCACACCCCCTCCCCAGCATGTGTACATATGCGCACATGTGCACACACAGCTGATACTTTGCCTAAACATAAAAGGATGAGAAGGAGTTTTCTAGAAGTAAGATCAGAAAGACATGCTAGGAAAGCATAGTCACAGAGAGAAAAAAGAAAAAGTTTTCTAATTGACTTTCATGTCCTACATTCATTTGATATAAGCTTACTCAATGAAAAAAGCTGAGAAGAAAATGCTTACCAAAAACCAAATAAAGCAAAAGAAATGGAAATGACAATCTCCGTGATATATTTTGCCAGATATGTTTATGTATATTTCTCTATTAGATACCTAATATTTATAGCTATACTTATGCTATATATCTATGTGTATATATATATATATATACATATATGTATGTATGTAAGCATATTTATATATCAAATTGTTCTTATATCAAAAACATATGGCTTGTTATACCCTTTACTTATATGATGAACTTACTGAAACTTCCGAAACAATAAGCTCCACCATGAATATAGATTACAGCTCGTCTTGGGGTTTCTGACTTTCTCTTTGGCAAGTACACACGTACTGGAATGTCAGTAAACGCTGTATCAGTCACTGTGACGTTTTCATCTGAAAGTGGTTGAGTATAATCCAGCTTGAATATCATGGAAATAAAGTCTTCATATGTCATAATACCTATATTTTCAAAGCACATACCCTGTAAGAGCAGAACAAAGTAAATGTTTTCATCTTTAAATAACATCAAATGCATACAGAGGGAAAGTAAAGAAAACATAAGCAAAATAAATAAACAGAAATAAAATGTTTATAAAAATTGTTTCTGAATAATATTGTATAATTCTTATTGCATAACTTTATTGCTGTTGAAAATCTCAAGTATTATGTTTTTAGGCTAATAACTATCTCATTCAACAGCTTCAATTTACTGACAGTTTTTTTTAAATCATAATTATTGCTTAATTGTAAATTATTACCGGAAAAATCTCTAGATCTTATAACATCCTTCCTTCCTTTCTTTTTGGCATGCTGTCATATTTTCATCTTTGTTATTTTTAATTGTGTCTAATCCAAAATGTTAACTATCACTATCATCTAAATGATTCAAATGTCCTACTTTTTAATTCCAAATAGATTCCTGTTCCTAGTCCTTTCACCATTCCCTCCCCCCTGCAACCAAGCCTCCAATACCATATTTGATATAATTGAAAAAAATCTCTCATTGGTATTTCTGAAGAGCTTCTTCAGGACCTTGGTGACATTTCACTGGATAGTTTATTAAAAAGGAAAACTTAAAAAATACATGGTCAATAGTACATTAAACATCTTTTATTACTATAATTATTACAAAGAGTTTAAGGTATTACAGGTTTTTAGAGAACATCTAATCCCCACACTTTAATGTTGAGGAAATATGCAGAAACTAGAAATTATAACCAGTAAATCTTAAAGCCCAGTCTGCAACCATTTTTCTAGATTAGTTTCTTATACCACCCGTGCTGTCTGTCTGATATAAGCAAATTACTCACTTTACTGCAATTTTCTTATCTATACTAATAAAAGGGTAATATGCTAATTAGACCAGATGTCTTCCAGATGACCATCAGGATGTCCTTCCTGACAAAACTGGGCCCAGGATAAGCCACCCTCCCCGCGGTCCCGGGTGCCAGTGCCTGCGATCAGGAGAGGGAGAAAACCACCCGCCCTGTGGTCCCAGGCACCTGCGGCTGTGGCTAACCCAGGTGAAGCTGGCCTGGGTTCCGGGTGCCTGCGGCCAGCCAGAGGAGGGAATTCTGGGTCCTGGGTGTGGGGCCAAAGCAGAGGTGGTTAGGGACAATCAGGCTGGCAGGGGAGCAGTTAGGGGTGATCAGGCAGGCAGGCAGGCGAGGGGTTAGGAGCCAGCAGTCCCGGATTGCAAGAGGCATGTCTGATTGCCAGTTTAGGCCCAATCTCCCACAGGGAGCTGGCAGTTGGACATCCCCAAGGGTTCCAGGATTGGAGAGGGTGCAGGGTGGGCTAAGGGACACCCTCCTCCCTGTGCATGAATTTTGTGCACTGGGCCTCTAGTTAATAATAATATAGAATTTCTCACTGGGTTTTAGTAGGGTTTACATGAGTGAGGACTTTCAATGCATTGTAGAAGAGTGCCTAGCCCATGTAAGTACACAGACAATCTTGTCTTATTGTTAGTTAAGCATTCCTCACAACATGAGCTTTTTAGTGTTTTAATCCTAATTGCATGCACTCACCTAGAATGTTCCTTAAAGCATGTTCTTGGCAAGTGGTTAAATTGTGTTAATTTAATTTTTCATTTGGTGAATTGGCTTTTAAAAATTAGATTTTTGGCAAATTAGCTTTTTTTCATTTCTTAGATAATTCTGGTTTTGAATAGATACTTAAGTACTTTTGGAACAATATTAAAAGCTACCCCTTTAGAGATTATTTTTGTTTGCCTAGTATATAAGATCTCTATTTCTCAGAGCAATGCTGCAAAGTATTTATTGCTCTTATCTTCCTTTAAAAAAAAAACTTGCGTGAAGAACTAAGGAAATTTCTCAGGATTGGGCATGTTTCCTTCTCAAATATATCTGTCAACATATGATAACATAGTAATTGTGTTTATTTTTCAAGGCCACTTTGCCAAGAACTTTAATTTTCACTTCCCTTTCATATGTTAAAAATTAATTTTTCTTACTGGTATCACAACTTTGAGTAACAAAATTCAGTACTGACAACAATAAAATTGTTTTCCCTATAACAGCTAAAGAGAGTTTATTTTACTAGAATAATCTTTAAAGTAATTACATATGTGCTTTTCTCAATATTTTTTTTTGAGGAACCCATCTATGATATCAAATACATAAAGTGCATTATTTTACTATAGCTAGGTAAGAATAATTTGCTGTTAAGAAAGTAAAAGTAGAACTTTAAAGTTGGCTGTTCTGCTAATGTAATTTTGATAACATCAGTGTCAGTCACTCTGAGTTTTAAATACATATGAAAGAGTTGAGTAAGATAACATCAGTTTCTCTATGGAGTTGGCGCTTGTTAACCCACGTATTCTTTGATTTTGTGTAAAATGAAGTGAGAGCATTAGGAAAAGACAGTCTGGTGAAAGTGAGCCTCTAGGAGTGGTTCGAAAGAAAAGTATCAGGACTTAGCAGACACAGACAGGAAATGGCTGTGGTTTCAGAGAACTGTCATCACTATACAAAGCTCCATGGGACAGCCTCTCCCTCTTAGACCAGGGATTGCTCACTTCTCTAATCATCTGCTGTCACTGTCTTCTCCTTGCAGCCTCATACTGTTACTCTCCTCAGAGAACCTCTCCGGGAGCCACCTGGTTTTGCAGAGAGAGTTTGAGTTTTGGAACGAGGCAGTCCTGAGTTCAGATTCTGGAGTTGTCAATTTCTAGCTGCATGAACTCTTCTGAACCTCTTTTTCCTCCTCTTTAAACCAGTAAAAATAATTGAAGGATAGTGGAGATGAGCAGAGGTATATATCATAGAAAGCCTATGCATTATAAAACCTAAAAAAAAATTTTAGTTTATAACCATGTCTTCCCCTTACCAAGGAGCTATTTTTGCTTGAAGTCATAATCTACCCTGCATATTCCAAGTCAGACAATCTGAAACCCAGCAATGTAGAATTGAAGATGGACTAAAGAAGCCGTTGAAATAGTAAGAGCCCTATATGAACATCAAACAGGTATAAACATCAATGCTTAGCTCTGTCCTATGGAACTAGACTGTCCCTGGAAACTCAAATATAAGTCAAGTTATCAAATAAACTTCCAAGTTTTCCCTTTAAAAAATACCACTTATTTTATGCATATCATAACTGATAGAGTTTACATTTAGACATAAACTCTTTGGAAACAAGAATTCTGTCTCATTCTGTTTTGCACCGATGTACCAAGTTGTACTTACTTAATTTCATGTAGTTGATGTATTCTAAAGAACAAGCAATGGTTATTTAAAAACAGTAATTAATAGAAAATTCATAAGTTAACAAGGCACCCCAATATCCAGAAGAAAAAATGGTCATCTTACCATAAATGTACAAGTTTTAAAAATTGCATCCAAGGACATTACTTTCCAGCGTTCTTCAATGTTGCCTGGTATGGGTTTATAAATATAAGAAGCAAAGAGAACACAAAACAGCGCCAAACTGAGAGCTTTGGACCCCATCATATTCCTCTTCCCAGCCTCTTCACACTGCCAAGATTAAAAAATTTTCTATTAATCTGAAATAATAAGTAGCAGAACAATGTAGCTTGGAAACCCTCTCAGGGAATGTGATAACCTTAACAACATGAAGTTAATTTTCAAGTTTAACATTACAACATCAGTAGAGACTTATATTGCACTGACTCTGAGACAGATGTAATTTGTCAGCTGATGCTTATATCATTAGCATGCAATTAAAACCTCCCACAGTGTTTCTCACCCTGGAATACCATCATCAGCTCAAAGCCAGTGTATTATTGAGACCTAAATCAGAGCTTCAAGTAGAGCTCTGAATAAGTGACAAAGTAACATTTTGTGATTGGTTGGTCACAATGCTTTATAAAAAGAGGTTTAAAAAAATTAGCTGATACTTAGTCAAACCATGTTAATAAACATTGCTTGTTGTGGTGGTCAAGCTTTCGGTCAATAAATAGGGGATATGGAGTCTTGTCCAACTTTCATAATCCACGAAGCTGAAACTTTTCAATAGATCAAAGTAGCACAAGGCTCACTACAAGTATTTCAGAAAACATTCTGGATTTTTTTTTAAAAGAATCACATAGATTTTGCTCATATAGTTAAGTGGAAAATCTTTAAAATTAATTTACATCAGGAATTTAGCCTAGTGTGGCAGGCGATATCAAATACAAATATTGGACTCATACCCACTGCAACCTGAGAGCCTGACAGACACCTGTCCAAATAGCTGATCACCTGGAGGTTCTTTAGAGATGCAAGGCCTACAGGTTTTCTGTGTAATATGTCAGGACCTAGAAGATAAATGAATAGTCATAACTCCATAAATCCACAATTCTCAAGCTCATTGACCAGGGATCAATACTTAGGGAAACTAATTTTTAATGATAGACTTCAGTTCAGTCAGGGCTCCAATAGAAGTATATATTAGACTTCTTGAAAGCATAAGTGCATAAGTACTAATTTCAAAGTCTATCATAAACTTAATTATTGAAATGGTTACTTTTATTCATCTATGCTGTAATCTTCCCTGAATCCCATAAACAAAACTTAGCAGTATAATTTACCATTCAAACAAGAACACTATTAAGAGTGAAAGAGACAATATTAACAGTAATGCACATAAACTGGGCAAATTGAGACTCACGATCTTACCCGAATCATAACTCTTTTAGCAAATTTAATTTAATTGGTGTGCCTGCCTTTACAAGTAGACTGTAAGTTTATTGAAAAAAGATACAATATATATATTTACTGAGTCTAAAGGCACTGATAAGTTTGGTGTTAATTTGAGCCGATAGAAAGTAAAATTTGTCAAATAATTCCAGGTCCCTGGGTAGCATAAGGTGCCTAACTTGCCACCCAACAGACAAGAACAACACTGCACTCCTACCACTCTCTCTGGTATACTGATTTTATTGCAGATGGGTTACATGAGGTTATTATGACCATCTAGTGCTGCATAAATAGAGTATACTTGTAAACAAAGGATCAGCTAAGGAATGAACAACAGTCATAGGCAATAGAATGTCTGAGCAAATATTCTTGATCTATCAGCTGTCATGGCTTGTTTGCTTAATTGATTTCCTTTCTGAAGGAAATAAATTATTTCATAACAATAAATATGTATATATTTTGCTTATTTGGTTTGATATCCTCAGCCAGGTCTTCGCTGTAACCCAACGTAGAATTTAAATTCACAATTTAATAATTGGCAGCCTGCTCAAATACATCAGCCTAGCAACTCACATGATCTAGCTAACCAAGAGTTTAGTTCTATATTTTTTTAACTTTTAACTTTTTAAATGTATTTGAGCAGGCTGCCAATTATTAAATTGTGATATTAACCATCACATGATGGTTACATGATGGTAACCTCATGTAACCATCTAAATAACTTTTAGGTATTATTATTAATAGCTTATATAGACAAGTTGTTTTACATGTAGACACATTAATCATTATATTTGTTCAATATTTCTTATGTACATTGGCAGATATCTTTCTTCCATATAATCACTGAGGGACTCAGCTTCTTGCTTTGGTTGTCTCAATAATTTTCTTTTTCTAGTCTTAATCCAGCCAGCAGAAGCAAAAAGAGACTGCCGTGGAGGCACAGTAGCTTCTTATTACCTTTAGCCCAGAAGGACATACATCAGTCACTTCCACCCACTTTTTATTGGACAAACACTAGTCATTGAGCAACATCTTGATGCTTCAAAACCCATAGTTTTCTTCCCAAGGGAAACAGCCCAAAGTTATTCAGATGTTACATCCAGATGAAGTCAAAGCTCTTTGGGTTATGCTTAGTCTAGCAAGCTGAATGATGGCCGTCTACACTTACCAGGTTCTAATCCAGCCGTGGGCAAACTACGGCCCGCGGGCCTGATCCGGCCCATTGGAAATGAATAAAACTATTGAAAAAAAAGACCGTACCCTTTTATATTTGAATTTATATTAGTTCACACAAACACTCCATCCATGCTTTTGTTCCGGCCCTCCGGTCCAGTTTAAGAACCCATTGTGGCCCTCCAGTCAAAAAGTTTGCCCACCCCTGTTAAATCTAATCCCTGGAATCCACACATCATTTGATAAATTAAAGAAGGTCTTTTCATATGTAATTAAATTAAGAAACTTACCATTTGGAGATCATTCTGGATTATCTGAATGAGCTTTTGATGAAATCACAGCTGTCCTTATAAGAGAGACACAGCAGAAAGTGGAGAAGACAGGAAAGGAGAAGGTTGTGTAAGGATGATGCAGAGATTGAAGTGATGTGGTAACAGCAAAGGAATACCAGCAACCACCTAAAGCTGAAAGAAGCCAGAAATGGATTCTCCCCAGAGCCTGCAGAGGGAGCACAGCCTGGCCAACACCTTGATTTCGGTTCAGGGAAACTGATGTACTTCTGACATCCAGAAATGTGAGACAGCAAACTTTTGTTGTTTGAAGCCACCAAGTTTGTGATCATTTGCTACAGTGGCCACAGGATACTAATATACTCAGACAGGGACTCCTCATGATCATTTGATCATCTTTTTTTGAGTGGGTTTTAAGGAGAGCAAAGAAGTTAAGTAGTAACCAGACCTTTATTTGCAGGAGGGAAAATAATTAGCAATGGATGTCACATTACTGTTGGTTTGGTGGCGTAAAGGTTGATAGTTTTTCACCATGAGAAATGTATGGGAACAGGCAGCGTAGGTCTGCCTCTTCAGTGTTCTTTGGAGTTGCCATGTTTCTCTTTTAACCTATGGATAGCCCACAAAAGACTGTGCTCACTAGGCTTTCAACGATCACAGTCAATTACTGTTTGAGTGTATTTCATCTATCACTTACCTGTTAGCAATGGTGCATAAGGAATGAGAGACTTGATCTTAATGTACCGGGAAATAAATGTAGTCCTTTCACCTGGTTGAATTAGTATCATCCTGATTTCCATCAAGTTAATTAACTCTCCCAATTGGGGCCACTTTGGTGAGATAGAGAATCACAGTGCTCTCTCTTCTAAGGAAGGAACGGGCATATGAGTAAGCAAGAGAATCTGGACCTACCTACTAAAGACTTTGACTTTTGAGTAAAGAAACTTAAGGACAGAAGCATGTTTAGAGCTCATTGCCTTTTGCAGTTATCCTTGACAGGATGATCGAGTATGCCTTCCACCTGGACTCCAGAGAAGCTTTTGTTTAAAGCCTTTCCTGAGCCTGAAACTCCAGATTACCTGCCAACTTCGTAAGCTTTCCAATAATATGAAAATACATTTTATACTTGCTTAAGTTGGACCAGCTAGATTCTGTTGCTTGCAATGAGATAATCTTAAATCTACAGGAAGTTATAAAATATCTTCTGACATCTTGAGGGTATTCTGAATCTGGAGTAGAAAAGGGGAGCACCTTTTAGTAAGAAAGTTATGAAAGGAAATGGTAACTTACATATTTATTTGGCTAAGGGCAAAAGTGTCCCTTAATACCTCTAAATATTATCACAGTTTCCTTGATCCATCTGTTTTAAAATGTCTACATTACTGAGGGAGTAGTTTTCCATTCTGATAACTTCAGAGGTGTTTTAAATTATATATCTAACATGTGTACGCCCCACACTGGGAATCTAGCCCACAACCTGGGCATGTGCCCTGATCGGAAATCGATCTGTGATCTCCTGGCTTATAGATCAATGCTCAACCACTGAGCCATGCCAGCCAGGCAAAAACTACTTTATTTTAAAAGTAGTTTATTTTATTTCATTTGGTATTTTTACTGATCAATATCTGTGTGTATATGTCAGCAGCACTTCCAATAAAGAATTTTTTTCAAACAGAACGGATAAAGAAATTACTTTGATAATATTTATTCTTTTAGATGTTATATTTATGTTGGTAATAATTGGATAGTTTAAAAATGATTTTTAAAAAATCTGGGTATAAGGTAGTATGCTGTATCAGAAATTTTGGAAAAATGCCTTGGAGAGGGGGCACAGCAGCTGTCTGAACTTCTAATAATGTTCAGACCTACTTGAGATGGAGTTAGTTTTCCTACAGATAATGTCTAGAATCTGTAGTAAACTCCACTATTCACAGAGAGCTATGAAGAGTAAATTGTAAGTTGGCCCACCTGTTGAGCTCTGCCAACAGGTTTTAAGAATCATTTCTGCCAATGGAGTTGGAAAGCTTTTATGGGAGTTAAATGACATTAGAAATGACTATGGGGTATATATGCAAGGGTTGAGAGGGATGGTGAGAATATGGAAATAAATGATCTGGAAAAATGAACCCCAATCCATAACTCAGTTGACAATGGTTTGATAATAATTTGTACAAATAGAGTGAAAAATAGGTAATTTATTACCCTAATTCCTCGTTCTTTTTTTTATTTTTAGAATTCAACTTTGTTGAGATTTGGTTTTATTTATGCTATTAGCTAAATATAAAAGCATACATGTTGTGTTTGTGGTACATTCAATACATTTGCAACTTTTCTACCTAAATTCTCTAT